AATACAATGGAGTCACTTTACAATGGAGTCTTTGTGAAACCTAAGCAATATTAGCCAGAAATGAAGCTCTTATGAGCTGTAAAACACCCACTTGGATTTCCATGCTGCCACACCCTGCTCTCTACAACTTTTGTTGTATTTAAATAACAAAATTACCACATAAAATTTTACTGCAACCACAAAAGGGGCAGACTAAAAGCTAGTTTTATCATTACATTTTCAACTAATATGTCTTAATTAGTGCTTATTGCTTGTTATGTAAGCCCCTTTGAAAGGTAATGCCAAAGTGGTGTAAAAATAATGGAATCCCTCTATCATTCAGTAGGTTTACCTCTGCTTATGTGATCCAGCTATTTTCTTAATATACACGTAAATGTAAATTCAGCATTAGTCACTTCTATCCTGCTTGCCTATGTATAATTGAAAACTGTGGGATGCTTGAGAATGGGGCATCTATAATGAATCATTTCAGGTTTCTTTTCTCCACAAATACTAGCCAAAGAAAAGTCTTTCAACTGTGTTCAGGTAGAGGTGTATTTTTTCAGGTTTAGCCCAATCCCTCTGTGGTCTGGCGGCGAGCCAAGGATCAGTGGTTTGGGAGCCTCATCCTTGGACAACAGTGAGTTGTCGGGACTAGAAGGAGAAAAACCGAATGATGTACTTTACCATGGAGGTATAACAAGGTAACTATGACTCACCACACACCCATTTAGATTTTTCTTGAGACTCATTTGAAGCAATGCTTGAAAATACATCAAGCAATACCTTCATTTAGCAAACCAGACATACTGTAACAAGGCGAGTCTTCAGAGTCTGAGTTTTTTATTTTTGGGGGACCAAAACAACAAGTTCAAAACCACTTCTCAGTATTGCATGGTGACATTTGCTATTAATAAAACATTTTGAGATTATAATTAGCATTTTATCCATTTAGGTGTCATTATCATCAAACGCTATTTTCAAAGGAGAAGAGCAGTGACAATGCAAAGTGTCTTTATTTAAGCTTTATTACTGTAACTCTATATTCAATATTTAGTAAAATTAATACTCTGCAAATCTAAAATGCAGTTGCAATGGCTTTAATTATCTTAAGAGACTGCATGGCTCCAATTTTAGGATTCCTTTTTTGACTTCCAGCTGTTTCAAGAATACAGTTCAAAATAATTTTTATTACTTCAAATGCATGACTGCAAGTTATGTAACAGCCACACATTTAGGTCGACAGTAAAAGCCCTTCTTGCAGTTGTTGAGTCTAGTATGCCTTTGTTTTTATGGCACTAAACCTGTGTATTGAACAACTCCCATCATTATTTTAAACATCAGATAAAACTGCACCTTTTTAAACCAGATTTAAACTGACTATGTTTATACTCCATGGAATATAGAGCACAGTGCTATTTATTGTTTTACCTATGATTTATTATTCACTTTATCATTTTATTACAGTTTTTATGTTTCTGTACAACCACATTGTAACTAGCAAAAGTGTTGTACGAACGTAGTCGATTATTATATAGACATTCAAATAACTACTCAATTAGCATAACAGTAACACCCACAAATAAAAATAAAAGTAGCTGAAGACAAGTTTAAGATCATATGTGCTGAACACGCACAAGTTCTTGTTGTATGAATGAATGGACTATTGTAGATTGTTCCATATTGGAGAACAACCGGCAATTTTATACCAATTATATTCTTACAATCACAAAATTTACCTTCACAAACATTCCCAGGAATTACCTGAGCCCCATGTGACTGTGGAAATCAGGGGAGTGGTAAACTGAGCAGGTTTGGGAGCTAGCTAAATCTCCTAGTACTTTCCTCATGCTTGTGAACTTCTTCTTAGGGATTAGGGGGGTAAACACACAGGGTTTGAGAGAAATATCTCCCACTACCTCCAGCCCATAACCACATGAAATGACTCTGTTGACTCAATGTTGGCACGTTGAAAAAAAGGCATTGTGGCAGAGGAGATTAAGCTGGGTCCAATTCTGTTGTAGATGAGTTCTGTCAAGCCCACAAAGTCAAACGATATAAGATATAGTCTAGTAATTGGACTTTCAAAGGCTGCAACAATCAGTCTTTAAGGTTTATGAGAAATACTTAAGACAGTGGTGGTAGTGTGAAAGCATGGATAAATAAGCACAACCTGAACCTGCAGCGCTTTTATTTGACAATTCAGGTATAAAATGTACATAATAGAAAGAGAATACTGAATACCATTTCTGGACAGAAGAACTAAAAAAAGCCAAACCACACCAATCATCTCAATGTATGACTGCTTCCCACACATACCAGTAGGATCTCCCAGTAAGGGAGAGACCAAACAAAGGAGTGCCATGATAGCACCTTAATCTCTCAATTACTACTTTACTGCAGCTGTCAGACAAAACACAACAAAAGCTTAGAGCTGTCACGCATATAGCTCTTTATGAGTGTGTGTGTGCGTCTTTGGTAATAACCATGTGTGGTCTGTCTAATCCCATTCTTGGTCGTCCATTTCTTTTGCAACCATAAAGCACTGACACAATATGATTGACAGGTTACCAAACAGAACACATACAATATAGCATAGCTCAATGAAAAGAGCATGATACAGCCATTATCATGGTTGGGGGTTTGGTGTTAGAATAAAGTCACTGAAGTGTGGGACCACAGACTTTCATAGTGTATATCTGAGAAACATAAAAGGTCTTAGGTTTATATACATTTTTTAAAAATGTAAAGCATGTCATATCTGCTTTCTGTGTGTACATGCACTCTATAATGCATCCATATTAGGCAAACTCTGGTGTTGGTACAGGAAAAAAAGTTTTGTCAATTATATTTTGAAACACTGCATCTGTATATAATGATACAAGTACCAAGTACCCTACTCTTGTTTGAAAAATATCACTGCTGGCAGTTTCAAGATTTACATCCACTGTGGTCCATGAAAGCCATTTACAATGTCATAATACATTGCTATCAAGTCTAGGGCATGGCAGGTTTTTCATAATTTATAAAACTGTTAATATGTCAGAAATAAAATAGGCTTTCACTTTTCAACAATATTCGACTGTGTCAGATTTGTTACTAGACAGTTCCCTAATGCAGCGGAAAACTAGATGCCCCTTCAGGACACCAAGCACTGTACTGGGCTGTCATCTAGTGAAGCTGGTTATATTCCACTGACACAGAAGCTAAAGCTAACTGTGTCAGGGAAAGACCAGGGATGTCACAGGCAATGCCTGGCATTAGCCATATAATGGCCAGGATTTGCTGCTAAAACAGGGGCCTCACATTGGCAGTCTTTAGTGACTTAAGTGGGCCGTTCTTCCATAGCCGTTGGGGCTATACAGCATATCCGTCCCTCTGTCTCTCTCTGTCTATGTCTCTTTCAGATGTGTTTCCCCTCAAGCTACTAGTTTTCTTTGACTGATTAATGTGATTTCAAGTTTTAAGTTTATGATGTTCTCGAGACATTTGGCCGACATACAGATCAACAGGTGTACAAAACGTTTGTGTAACAGCACAGTATGCAGTACTGTAAGCTTTGCAATGTCTAATCAAAATAGCCGGTGTTCTCATATCTAAAGTAACAGCCAGGTTTTCACAGCAGAAATTGTGACTTGTCATAGTAGAAAAGCATGGTCATGTCTCAGTAAGCCTTTTTTGTAAGTCTGATTACCTTTTTGAAAAAGGTTTATTATGTAGAATATACTGTATGTTGCAATATGCTATAGGTGTAGCATGCAACAACCTATTAACATTAAAATGTGTGTTGGGTTTGTATAGAATTAGAATAGGCTAACTTAACAGCAAAAATATTATTTGTGGCTTCATAACAGTGTGTCAGACTTGATTCTCTTGTCTGATCACAAATGTGATCTTTGCAAAAACATGAGAAACCCAGTCTACAGATTACTCTTCAGTAAATAAATCAATCTCTTTTCATGCTTGCTATGGATTCTCATTACATCACAGGTGAGACAAACAGCCAGAAATGTATGAGACATGACTAACATGAAGAAAAACTAAACAAATATAAAATATTTATTAATGGATATCCAGTAGTGGAGTACGTCATTTGACTTCATGCTCCTTGTACAGAAGCAAATACGGTTCTATATGTATGGAAACAACTCATACAAAACTTATATAAGATAAAAGGACGTTTCTCGCCTGCTATTTTTAAACTCATATTCTGTGTGCCATCTTCTGTATGTCACACAGGAATATAGCTTAATAAATAAGAGGAAATCTTTTGATCCCCATATAAATATTGTGAAAGGCAAGATGGCACTTTTTGACATTTTTTTCCCCCAGACATGGTTTTATTTGCGTGGTGGCATTTATCTCATCTGCCATTTGTGTTGTTTGTCAATTATCTTCATTAAGCTTTCATAAAGGGATCACTGCAGTGAAGTGATGGCAGCAATAAGTAAAAAAAAAAAGAACTTAGAAATCAGCAAATATTAAAGTTGCTCTTTGTAACACCATTCATCTCCATGAGACTTTAAGCCAAAGCGTCTCAGTAGAATATGTCCAGAAAAAGTGTCCAGGTGAATGTGACACGTGATGGCCAGTTTGTGGTTGTGATTTAGAAGGCATGTCCTCCCTGTATCAGTTGCACAATGCTGTGACAATTCCAGAGCTCAAGCACAAAAAGAAAAAAGGTTAGAAGACTTACGGTCATCACTTCGGATAGTTTTCTGCAAATGACGCAGACTTTCAGACACCTCCCCCAAAAAATACTTTGCGTGTTTGTAGATGAGGGTGTCCAGTCACATAATCGTCTGTCAAAACTTGTCTTCCTCTTTTTTTTTTTTTTTGTTCTTTCCCTTGCATCTCATGCTTCTGCTTCCTTCTGCTATCAATTTCTAGCTAACTTTTTTTACTTTAAGATTATTTGGGAGGAGGGAAGGGAGAGCCAAGCTGTATATTCTGTGACCGATAGCATACAGGCAGAGGAGACCAATGTAAGAGGAAGAGCAATTTATTTTCCATTTAATAAAAAAAAATGGACAGACATAACAAAATCCTAAGGCTGTTCATCTGATCTGAATGGGACTTGATAAAATAAAATAAAAAACTTCTACAGCTATTTCAATTCTTCACCAGGAGTCATTCCCCAAACAGTTTTCTGTCCTGACAGCCCACAAAGGATATTTTAGCCCTTCTTGTCAACTCCATATTAAATCAATATACAATATTACCAAGACCAAAATCTGGTAAACCTGACTCCAAAAAGCAGATATTTCAACATGGTTGTAGAAAGATTCAGTCATTTGGTTTTGTGTCCACCATCTTCTTTAAAAATTTTATTCCCAGTGTCATGCCATATTGATATCAGGACCTTATTCACCGTAGGCCAAGTACGACAGATGTAGATTTGTCTCGATGCAGACGCTGCATTTGTCCATGAACTGCATTCGCTATATGTTACATAAATGCACATAATATTGCATGGTGATCATTTCTTTGAAAACAAGAACAAAACAACCTCAAAACTGAATAAAAATACAGAATTCTTTGCAGATAGAAAGGTCCATAAAAAGTTAGACATTAGATATTATTAGAAACTAACAGAGTCTTTCACATGGTATAACACCGCCATCTAGTGGCAAATGTGGTCATTTGCTACAAAGTCAGGGAGGGGAAAATATTCATTGTATAAGAAAAAAATACATTTCATAAATATACCACAGCTGTATGCAGAATGTTATTACAATGACATTGAATGTCAATCCTTCTTCTTATAAAGGTCTTTAGGTTTAGCCTCCTCTTGAGTTTCACAGATTGATTACAGTACGGATACTAAGAAAAAAAGAAAAATGATTAGAAGGTCACAGATTATATAAAGAAGTTTATTTTAAGCCCAAATCCTCTAGTTCCAGCTTCTCCAATGTGAATATTTACTGGTTTCCTTAGTCTCTTAAAATATCTTTTAAGTTTAGACTGTTGCAAAGGCACATTTGACATCTGAATATGTAACTGTGAAGGCTGGGAAACTGTATTGGACATTGTTCACTGAAATATTAGACAATTAATTAAATAGTCCAGAAAATAATCTTAATATTAATCAACAATTTCATTGCAACTCTAAAATGGAGATAAATAATAATAATAATACATTCCATACATTTAAGGCACACACACACATAATGCTCCTGAAAATATTATGTTTGTGAAATTTGTGATTTTTTTCCTGAGAATTAATCAAATTACAAGACACTGTCTGTTTAGAAGGCCGCAAAAAGCATGGGAACATGGTTTCCAAGATAAAGAGGAGAAAACATGTTTTGCAAAGAGGGCCACTACAGTAGTTTTACAACTACTAGGTCAGTATATTTAGGAGTCTGCTGTACAGACATTCTACAGGATGCTACTATCATTGTATGAGAAGCATGTTGGTGCTTGTTTGTATAGTCAAACAAGCCATTTTGACTTGGTTTGTCTTGACTATTCTGCAATAGACTAGAAATGCAGCTCAGTTTGACACTGAGGCTACATGCTTAGCCCCAACCCCAACCTTACCCTAGCACTAACACCTAACCTTAAAAACAGAAGCTAGCAAGCACAAATAAACCGGGTCTTACCTTTTCCCACTTTTCAAAAGGCCAAAGGCCACATTGATTTGATCCAGGGGTAGGCTGTAGGAGACAAACTCATCCAGCTTCAGCTTTTTGTTCATGTAGTCGTCCACCAGTTTAAAAGAGGATTAAAAAAACCCATGAACCCTCATGACCCACACTGAAAAGGGCAATTTTCTTGTCACCTTATAATATCCATATAATTGCCTTAAATGACTGTAGCCCTTGGATACATCAACAGTGATAGATATTATTAAACCTTTGATGTTCAGTCAAATTCCAATAATGATTGACCTTACATTCTGTGACATAAATACAGTGACGTTACATTGTGTGTTATAAATATGACAAAGGCTTTGTAACATGTTTTAACATGTGGCGGCACTGTATTCTGGTCTAGCTAGTCTGAAACAGTTAGTGACCTGCCTCCTCTGACTGGGACTGTTGATCAGATAAAGCAAGCTGTTTGACAGCTAAGACATTACCTTAGTGTCTGAACACTTGTATTTTCACATCTTTTAACTATCAATATTCCAGTGAGTAATGAACACAAATCATTACAAGCCAAAATATGTTCACCGGTGATGTTTTATACTTGTTTTCTCAAGTCTAACATCAAATTGGGTCCAAAAATGCAACTACCCTGTTTTATATTTTACTTATCACTCAGTTTCTCTATAACTCTAGTCATCACAATCTGAACCATTATGGATGACTGCTTTGTATTAATTAATAGACCTCATCTTAGGTTCACCTCCAAAATAAGTCCCCTTCAAGGTGCGCCCCATGAGGATCTTTAAAACCTTGACCTTCATTTCTTCTGTCTCAGTCCACCCAGCAATGACACAGGTGCCCCAGGCATCTGCTGTAGACTCCAGTGCAGCGCTCTAAGTCAACAAAAAGTGCCAGTTATGCAAACTAATTATAGAATTGCACAGCTGTAATTTGTGTAACTGTCCTACACCCACCATGACATCTGGACTTCCAACACACTCCAGAGCGTAGTCCACACCTCCATCTGTCATCGCCACCAGAACCTCCTGGATGGACTTGCTATGATCTCTGGGGTTGACACATTCAGTGGCTCCAAATGCTTTGGCTTTCTCAAATTTGTCTGGATTGATGTCGACCCCAATGATCCTTTTTGCCCCAGCGACCTGGCAGCCCATGACAGCGGCCAGTCCTACAGCTCCAAGGCCAAACACGGCACACAAGGAATCTTTTTCAACCTGGATGCACATAATGTGGGAGCCAGCTTAGTCAGCTGAAATCTATTAAATCGATATCTGATGAGATCATCATGTTTAACTAGTACATTTGACATAGAGTTGCAAGAAAAAGTAATAGCACTGTTTGCAATGTCTTGGTTTTCTGCACAATTTGGAAATTAAATGTAATGTGATCGTCAAAGTCACAAATATTAACAATGTTTCTAAGCTGATAAAGCACAAACAGTCATGATCTTTCTACTGAACACACCCATTAAACATACAAAGTGAGGGTGGAAAAAGGTCATAGCAGCAATGTTTTAATAACTGGTTGAACCACCTTTTTCAGACATAACCTCAAGCAAGCGTTTCCCTGTAGCTGTGGATTAGACCTGTATAATATTCAGGAGGAATTTTGGACCATTGTTCTTGACAGAACTGCTTCAGCTCTGCCATATTCTTATGACATCTGGTGTGAGCGGCTCTCTTGAGGTCATTCCATAGCATTTCTATCGGGTTGAGGTCTGGGCTCTGACTGGGCCTCTCCAAAAGGCAGATTTTGTGTCTCCGAAGCTATTCTGTAGTAGATTTACTTTGATGTTTAGGGTCATTGTCCTGCTGCGTCACCCAGCTTGTTCTGAGCTTCAGCTTGCAGACACCTACCCCTGCATTATCCTGTAAGATACCTAGATAAACTTGAGAATTCATTTTCCCCTCCACAGTGGCAAGCCATCCAGGTCCAGAGGCAGCAAAGCAGCCCCACATCATGATGCTCCCTCCACTGTACTTCACTTCACATTGTATATGATACTCATGTTATCTACTGACACCTAGTGGGAAAAATTAATAACCAATAATGTCTTGCCATAATCTTACAATAAATGGGCAGCAACTAAGGAAAATGACAACTAACATGTTTTCCTTAATTAATTTTTGATATATGAAGCTCAACTGTTTATAAATGGTCATGATTGTAAATACATGTTAAGCGCATCCCTCTTGTTCCAAGGGTTCAGCAATGAACAACCACTTGTCAGTGTTGGTGAGAACTCAAGTAATGATTAGAATGCAAGTGACCAGCAGATCCATGTCCTCTTACCTTGGCTGTATTAACAGCAGCACCATAACCAGTGGAGACACCACAGCCTAGCAGACAAACTTTGTCCAGTGGTGCATCGCTTCTTATCTTTGCAAGTGATGTGTCGGGAACCACGGTGTACTCAGAGAATGAACTGACACCCAGGAACTGGAACACCTGTTGCCGCTTGCAAGATATCCTGCTTGTGCCATCAGCTAAAACACCCATTTGTGTATTCTCCCTAGGAGTCACGAAATAGGAATGTGAAGCAGCAATACTACTGAAGCAATAGAGCAGCTGTAAGTGTATATAAATATGTGGTAATGAAATCACCAGTTCTTCCTGCAGTGATTTGTTTTAGGACACTGACATCGTTTACATTCCCCACATTGAGGCAGAAAAAGGGGAATAACTTTATCCCCTGTGAAAACAACAAAAAGTTCAATCAGAGTTCTGTTAATAAAAACGAGAACGAATCCAAACAAATGTCATTTTGTTCAATGTGAACTGTATAATTTACCTGGTGAAAATTTGGTGACTTCTGGACCAACACTCTCCACTACTCCTGCTGCTTCATGGCCGAGAACTAACGGGAATGGTCTAAATTTCATCCCCTTTTCAGTCTCATACAGGTATTCCCAGTCTGTGTGGCACACTCCTGTGGCAATGATCTACACAAACAGCGAGGGTGCTGATTCAGATGACTGTTTTAGGAAGTGAAAATAGTCATAGTGTGCAATGTGCAAGCCAACATGAAACTAACCAAGGAGAAGTCAAATGCATTTAAGTGTTTCATATCAACATTTCTGGCCTTCATGAGCAAAACAGAAACTAGAACACGGAGTAATACAATTATCCTTAATTTTTATGCAGTAGTTCCTATTTGTCTACTTCATATAATATTGTCATAAAATATGAATATACTCATATTTCCAAATATGAGCAGCTTACCTTGATGCGGACTTCATGGACCTTTGGTGGAGCCACATCCACATCCTCAATGCAAAGTGGTTTGCCACGTTCCCAAGCAACAGCTGCCTTGCACTTGATCACCTAAGAGAGATAAATACACGTATTTGTTGTGCGTTGCACAGTTTGACACACCCTGACTCAAATTAGAAGTCACTAGAGGGAAAGCCAGTGTCCATATGGGGAGCAGAGAATGGGGATAAACTGGCAATAAACCGAGCGATCAACAGCATGCTTAACCAGATGTCACAATATACAGACTGAAAGCAACAACAAGAGATGAAGTTATGTCTTACCTGGCCTATTGTTGACATGATGTGGTAATGTCGTTAAATTCTCTGCATCTGACCAAAAAAGTTGTGTCGGAAAATTTACATCTATATACAACTATATGAAGTCCCACAGATAACTTTCCATATTATGTAAGCACTGGAATTTGTAAAGTGGTACTAACCGAGTCTATAAGCTTTGTCAATGAGCTGACTGCCACCTCGTTATGCAGGGGTTGGGCGGCGAGTTTACGACACTTCACGACCTTGCAGAATACTTTTACGGCAGTCAGTGGCTACACGCGTTATGATCACATGGAGGTCCGTTGGAGTAAATAGCTGTAAATAGCCCATCAAAGAAGCTGTGAGTACTTTGCTTCAGCTGTGTGTAAATAGTGTTGCAGACTTTCCGGCGTTTGTTTTGAAGTGAATACTTAACGTATTGGCTTGTGTTAGGAAATGCGCTTCAATTTAGTAGTTTGAATGACAGAGTTGAGGTATCCTAGCATGTTAGCAGGGCCTTGTGCAGTGCTTCTAAGTTAAGTCCTGTGATCGTTGAGTCTAATAAGTTCAGTCCAATGTGGTCAGCTAAGCGTGTACATAACAATGTTAACGTGGTAACTTCATGCTTCATAACGTGTTTATGTCCTCACATGCTAAATTGTCTTTTTTTTTTATTGTGTCTTACACAGAATTTGAAGATAAAATGTCTTTCAGAGGGGGAGGTGGACGAGGTGGACGAGGTGGTGGGTTTAATCGAGGCGGTGGGTTTAACCGAGGAGGATTTGGTGGAGGCAGGGGCGGCAGAGGTGGTTTTAACAGACAAGACTTTGGTCCTCCAGATCGTGTTGTTGGTAAGTTCATCAAATCACAAACTAAGAATATTGGAAACAAGTTGCAAAGGCTGACATCTTGACCGCTAGGCTGTGCTATCAAGCTGAATACGGTTGAGGGCTGAGTAATACACCGACTGGTACAATAATAAAGCCGTGTTTTCCTGTGGGGCAGAGTGGGATCATAGCTTATAAGGGTCCATTTGGGCATGGGTTCAATATCCATCCTTGGCGTCAAACACTGAACCACCACAGACTCTAAAAACATCATCTGTATGTGAGTGTGATCCCTATTTATGTCACAAGAAGGTTATTGGTTAAATAGCATTCATGTCAATATGCAAGATGTAATTATGAAAGCCCCCACCATTCAGACATTGGGTTTAATAATGTGGCATCTAATCCTATATTGTCAATGCACAATCATGTTTAATGCTGAAGTGTCATAACAGGATGCATTGTGGGTTATTCCCCTGAGCAAAGTCTGCAGAATTACAGGGTTATACAAAGTGTGTGATTAGGGCTTAAAAGGTTAACCAAAGAGCACTCAAGTAGTTGCCAGTTTATACAGTGGCCTTAGTCATGATGAATACTACACATTTTAAACAACTAACTGCATTTTTATGTCGTTCTACTCTGCAGCACTGGGAGAGTTCATGCATCCATGTGAAGATGATATTGTGTGTAAGTGTACAACAGAGGAAAACAAAGTTCCCTACTTCAATGCCCCAGTGTATTTGGAAAACAAGGAGCAGATTGGGAAGGTGGACGAGATATTTGGCCAGCTACGGGATTTTGTATCTTTTCTGTTGCTCTGCTGCAATTTCTACTGAAAGCAAGATCAGTTTGTGAGGAACAAAGATCACTTTCTGCTCAGTCATGTTAATTCCTTAACACATCCTTGCAGTATTTTTCAGTCAAACTTTGTGAAAATATGAAGGCATCTTCATTTAAGAAACTGCAGAAGGTATAAAACAATAACATTTAGTTGCGTATTTGCATAATCAAAAGCATTTTAGTGTCTGTGAAATAAATCATGAGTAACATGCAGTTTCTCTTTTAGTTTTATATTGATCCAATGAAGCTCCTCCCGCTGCAGAGATTCCTCCCCAGGCCGCCAGGAGAGAAGGGTCCACCTAGAGGAGGCCGCGGTGGAGGCAGAGGTGGAGGAAGAGGTGGTGGTCGTGGAGGTGAGGCATCTAAACTTACTGTTTCATTGCAGTTAATCTTGTCTCCCATTGTTGATGAGTGTGAGTTAAAGTGGAAATGAAAATACATTGCCCATTTACAGAATGGTTTGGAAAAGTGGTTTGATTAAATCTGCTTGGTTTTTATTTCAGGTGGATTTCGAGGTGGCCGTGGTGGCGGATTTGGTGGTGGTGGACGTGGTGGAGGATTTGGAGGTGGTGGACGCGGTGGAGGAGGAGGCTTCAGAGGAAGAGGAGGTGGTGGAGGACGTGGATTTAGAGGTTGGCCCTGTTTTCCATTCTCTAAAATGTAGTCATATTTTCTAGTGTGCTGGTACTAGTGTTGTCATGTAGTTTATAACGCTTGTATTTGTCATTTTCTTTTTGTTTACTTGTAGGTGGAAAATGATGAGACAGTGAGGGTCTGGTGTAATCTTCTCATTTCTGTCTACACCTACCCCAGTAAAAAAGCTGTGGTCCATGCCAATTCGTGGCTTGCTGTACCTCAGAATATGGACATTGCCTCTATTTGTACAACTTGAGTGAATTCTTTTTTTACCACTTTTGTATGAATGATGGATCTCAAGATGCTTTTATTTAAAAGATTCATGTGTTATTGTGTGTAACATCGTGGGGACCTTTTCAGCCTGTTATGAAGGGTTATCAAGTACCTCTCAACAGGCATTATCCTGTGCTGATTGTGTTAAAATATATGGCCATGGCAGATGTTTGTGCTTTTTTCAGTGTTAGCTGAAAACATCTTATTACACACAATTTGTAAAATCTTGAGCAAAATATTGTCATGTTTTTGCTAAAGGTCTTGATTAAAAGGTGCTTTGCAATTGCGTCTATTTTATATTTTGGGTCCTGCAAATCTAATCTGAGTTTAGGAAACTGATGTATGGGCATGATTTTGTGAGTTTGAAAACCAGTCATGGTACAACATGCAAAGATGTAACGGGGAAGCTTGAAATCTCCAGCGCACACACACATACTGATGGGCTTTTCAGTGAAGTACACAGCATCATGTATACACTGAAACTTTTGAGATGACTATTTCAATGAAGGAGAAAGGTGTCATTTTAAAGATTTTTTTAAGTGGGTCATTTAACTTTTTTGTAGAATACAGTGTTAAGTTGGAGTATTTTTATATTGCTTAAAACTTGTTTGGAGATGTTGAATGAGCCACTGCTGGAAAGTGGATTAAATATTCACTGAAATCTAAAAAATGGGCTTCTATGACTTGTTTTATTGGAACAAAAGTAACTACATTTACTCAAGTACTCTATGTACAGTTTTTACAGATTAAGATTTATAAATGATGATGCACTGTTATAAATTAAAATAAGGGAATGTTCGAGTCCAGCTGAAATTCAAGTACTCGGTTGACAGGTGTTGTACCCAGTACTTTTTACCATGCTAACTCTGAGAGACGAAGCAGTCCAAGTAACTTCAAAACAGTGCTGATTTATTCAATGAACACAGGTAAAATTAACGTTACACGCTCCGGTATCTCGCACCTCCAACATGCACGCAGGCAGCTGAAAGATGAAAGACCCTGAACCACAACAGTCCTATACATTATATCACCTCGGGCTAACCCCATTCTACAGAGAGAGACACCAAACCGTGATGTCTCCCGGTGCCAGCTTTGCATCTGGCCAGAGCAGTAGTCAAAGCATGAAGAAAATCAATGTGTGAGTGTCTGTTGATTATGTGGTGTGTAGCTAAAAACATTCTAACACGACCTCTAGTGACATATTATGGCTAAGGCTACAGTTATACACGTCATAATAATAATATTAAGCACCCTGTCTGCTGACAGTCATCAACTCTTCTCTCTAGTTATCCTTGACCATAAGTAACCTGCAGCAACTCATGAGAATGACTAAACATTTAACAGCCTGAGCTAGACATCCTGTCTACACTAAACATTTCCAATACATCAAGTATCTAACCAATATCTATCTGACTAAATAGTAACAATTTTTATAATTGTTTGCCTTTCTGACAAGTCATAGGTCAAGCTCAAATGTGAGGATTTGCAGTTCTTCTGTTTAATTATGTAATTTGAACCATTTTTAGGTTTGGGCTTTTGGCTGAACAAAAATCTAATCAGTACATTAAATCACAGTTAAAATCGGCTCCATACCACCCAGCTGCAACAGCTGCTCTATGTAACAGCCTATATAACTATATCAGTCACAGGGAACATTTTCCCACAAGACTCTTGAATACACATATTTTTACACAAGTAATATTTTGATTGCAGTACTTATGATTGGAAACTTTTACAGTGAATGGCATTAGTTCTTTTCAAAACATCTCTGAGGTATGGACCTATATGCACAAAAGATGGTACAAAATCAATGAAATCATACTGCTGTGTATACGCCGTGTTTGCGTCATGCGTACCCTGCGCGTTCTCGTCTCTGATTGGTCCGGACTTTAACTGCTTTACGGCAGCGCACCGCCCCGTCTTCGCGTGCTGGGAAAAAAGCAGCATGGAGACAGCTGGTAAAGTAAGTAAGTTCACTACAAAATCCACAACAAATGTCTTAGATGCATCTTGTAGCTGTGTATTTGCCGTTAAATTGGCATTAATATCACCTGCACTGTAAAACACGGTTCCTTTAACTAGCTTGCTCTCGTGCAGACTCCTTGAATAAACAAAACGGCTACAAAAAAAATCACTGTTCACTTACTTAGCAATGATCTTTCGTCAGTCATACGCAGCTGCTACTTGCAAGTTGATGCAGTGCCTGCCCAGAAAGTTTAAGCCAGGTCTAAGCTTCTGAATAACCGGTAAAACAATTGAAGTGAGTGAAAGTTTGGTGGAAGATGTTATTGCCTACTTAGCATCAGAAATCGGAGGCTAAATGGTGCTAAAGCGGAACGTTAACGCACTTAATCCAGTAGTGAACTACTGGAAGCCTTGCATTGGCATAAACTATCGTTCAAAGTCTACACTGTGGTCAACTAGTCCGGTCACGGGCACTGAAGAGCTGCACTCACTAATTTAATTCTAACAGCATTATTTATGAAAAATCGCACTGTTGTGCCTTTAGGTGATCAAATGCAAGGCAGCTGTTGCCTGGGAACCCGGGAAGCCTCTTTCCATTGAAGAAGTGGAGGTCGCCCCACCTAAGGCCCATGAAGTTCGCATCAAGGTAACAAACCATTGCCGCCACTTTTCCAGGCCAAAAATGCCTGGAAAGGTAATTCCTGAAAGGTTCCTATGAAGGCATCTCTGGAAACATCAGAAATATTTCAAACTTTGAAGCTTTGAAGACAGACTTTTATGACTTCAATATTTCATAACTGAGAAATGCCATGACTAGACATTAGGTAATAAAAGTAATGTTAAAATCAAGAATAATATCTTTTATATTCTTGAATCTAGCAGCATGGTGCTTTGTCTCTCAGCTCTTTGCTACAGGGGTGTGTCATACAGATGCCTACACTCTGAGTGGGAGTGACCCTGAGGGACTTTTCCCTGTCATCCTGGGCCATGAGGGTGCTGGGACAGTTGAGAGTGTTGGTGAGGGTGTCACCAAATTCAAGCCAGGTACAGTACGGAGCCAGCAGTCAAAACACTCAAACGTAAAACTTGTTTGTGCACTGCTGTGAATACGCACACCTTATGTGATTTTTACTGATCAACGATTCTGTTTGATAAAGGTGATACCGTCATCCCATTGTACGTGCCACAGTGTGGTGAATGCAAATTTTGCAAAAATCCGAAGACCAACCTTTGCCAGAAAATTAGGTAATGCTTTCAGACTAATTTATACATGGTTGAGTTGGTGAACACGGTTTGCTTTTAGTGATAAAATAGGAATTTTAAAAAAGTATTTCTTGTGGCAGAACAGCAGCCTCAATGGTTGAACTCAGAGCCTCAGGCGTCCTTCCCCAGGGCAAACAAATCAAAGCTCAGTCATCATCAGTTTTAGCTTCTCACTGCCCTGCAGTGAAGTAAACAGCAACTGAGTTTCATCACATGAAAAGAAATCCTCTTTTCACTGTTCTTCCTCCCTGCAGAGTAACTCAGGGGCAGGGCCTGCTCCCTGACAAGACCTCACGCTTCACTTGCAAGGGAAAGCAAGTGTTTCACTTCATGGGTACAAGCACCTTCTCGGAGTACACTGTGGTGGCGGATATCTCTCTGGCCAAAGTGAACGAAAATGCTCCACTGGATAAAGTGTGCCTTCTTGGATGTGGCATTTCTACAGGTTACGGTGCTGCTCTTAACACTGCCAAGGTGGATATCGCAGGTTATTGGCCACACATTAAGACCACCATCTTATAATTAGAAACACATTCGCTCTTTATTTTTGTCTGAAGTGACATTGGAAAATTGACTAATTTATAGTTTAAGTATCTTTATGCAAAACATATTTGTTCCAAAGTGGTGCTTAAAGGTAGAAATAAAAAGAGACAAATGTCATCACTGTTACCATGTTTCACTCTAAAGTGAGTTACCTGCATTAATCATGCAGGTCAGAGTCAGCTTCACTGGCCAGGTGTGTTGGACACACGAGGAATTTGACTTTGCTACAGTGGCTCTCAATGTGTATGTACAGTGTTCTTCTGTAAGACAATGGGTAGACAAACGATGTAAGACTGAATGAGCAAAAAGAAAGAGACAAAGGAATTTGCATTAGGAAAATAAAAAATAAAGTACTTACTTTTTAGCAACATTTTAAAAAATATTTAAGGGTATCTTTACAGAAGGGAGTGACATGGGACCTGGTGCTCATGATGCCTGCTTCTATGTCACCTTTTTGATCCCTGCTTCCTGCAGTGAAAAGAAAAGCTGTTCGCTGTTTGCTTAAGAAAACCCAGCTGTTATTTGTATAAGTAAATGATTGTTACATCAGCTAAAACAAATTTCACGTCCATACATAAATCTTCTAGCTTCAAAATGATTTTGTAGTATTGGAATTCTCATGAGGCTTTTTTTTTTTTTTTTCCTCACTCACAGGTTGAGCCCGGTTCCACATGCGCTGTATTTGGCCTTGGAGCTGTTGGCTTGGCTGTTATTATGGGCTGCAAGGTAGCGGGAGCAACCAGGATTATTGGTGTGGATATTAACCCTTCAAAGTTTGAGAAAGCCAAGGAGTTTGGAGCCACAGAGTGTGTGAACCCCAAGGATCACAGCAAGCCCATCCAGGAGGTTCTGGTGGAGATGACCGATGGTGGTGTGGACTACTCCTTTGAGTGCATTGGAAATGTGCAAATCATGGTGAGACCACGTGCACATTTTATTATGCACAATCTGAAGCACATCATATAGATACAGCAAATAAAACAGTGTCATAGGTTAACAGTGTTAATGCATCATTTTAGTTGGTCTGCTGGTGTAAATAGATGACCCAGTGCAGATGTAAATTATGTTCTCATAGGTGGCACAAGCAGCATATAAAATACTGTTCATAAGATGACAGTGTATATAACCAGAAAAAAATGATCAATTTATTATTTCAGAGAGCTGCTCTGGAGGCGTGCCACAAAGGATGGGGTGAAAGCGTCATTATCGGTGTAGCCGGAGCAGGACAGGAGATCTCAACCAGACCATTCCAGCTGGTGACAGGCCGAGTATGGAGAGGAACAGCCTTTGGAGGTGGGATACTTTTCTAAGGGGCTTAATGTGGCCTGGCAGACATTCCAGATTTCTGGGAGTTCAAATCCCTTTTGCATATTATAATCTGGGACAGACTGAAGTAAAATCAATGTTTTTTGAACATTCCAACTGCTTAACTGGTTTGTATACTCATCCCCAGGCTGGAAGAGTGTGGAGAGCGTGCCTAAATTGGTAGAAGACTACATGAATAAGAAGCTGAAGGTGGATGAGTTTGTGACACACACCCTGCCCTTTGACCAGATCAATGAAGGATTTGATGTCATGCATGCTGGAAAGAGGTGAGAGGAACAGTTAATTTATGTAGTCAGTGCATAAAATCACTGTTGTAAAAATAGTGTTTTTCCCCTTTTGATTCTTTGTACAGCACATACCTTTTTTTTTATTTTTTATTTTCTGCTGTTCTGTTGACTAGAATTCTATTTCCCAGCCTAACATATTTTCTTGTTTCTCATTGCAGCATCCGCACAGTGCTGACCTTCTGAAATGCCTAAAACACTGACGCAATTCACCTCCTGCCTTTAAACCATCACCTTTTGTAGTTGCAGCACTTAATGTATTTCTCTGCACTTGTTTTGATGGCATAACTTTCAGTATCAGAACATTTTAATTAACAACAGAAAAAATGTTTGTCAGCATCATTAAATGGTTTTTGAAAATGCATTTATTCTCTGCTTCTCTTGGAAAACATCTTTTTTTTTTTTTTTGTATACATGATTTTCCCAGGAAACACATGCCAGATACTAGAAATTTAAAATAATTTTACACTATTAATAATAATTTCTGCATTTACAGTATTTGAAGATCAATAATTATTCCACCTTAAATGTTTGGGCAAAATACTTAAGATAAATTGAATTTTGGTAAGGCTCTGAGAATGCATACCACAACCTGATATGATCTGCATGAGTAAAAGATAATAGTTATCATGCAATCTGAAATATTTGCTACTCATGTATTAACTTTATCTTTCAGAGAAACATGAAATGTCAGTAGTGAGTTCAACTAAGCCTGCACACTGTAGAGTTTTTATTGGTACATTTTACAAACCCTGTAATATACTGCTACAAGATTGTTGAACAGATTATCTGAGAGCAGTTCTGGGTTTATGCAATATTATCTCATTGCAATGCAGCCATGTAAGCTGTCTTTTGTTAATACCTCTTTATGCCGCCTGCACTCCTAACCACTCTCCTAAAACAATAGAGTGTATGTGTAGTTCTAGACAAGCTATTATGCAAAATAGTCAGGTTTCATTTAAATTATGCATTCCAATTTTGGGTGGCATGTAATAGAGCTTTTCACTCTCATTTTTTTATTTGAAGGATTTGTTTTAAAAAATTGTGTTAGGCTGTTTGAGTGGATGATGATGTTTCTTGCCTACTGTGACCTTTTAGAATTGAGATTTTGATCAAGGGTTATATATAAATAAATCTCACCTCCTGACATTGCATGTATCAACCTGGATCTTTAGGTCACCCTGCCATCCAGGTAGTATGTATAATGCCACACTGAGCCAATCCCAGTAATACAATTACTAAAAAAACAGGAGTAAGCTGGACAGCAACAAAGAAATATATGACAAATAACATTGCTCAAAGAGATTCTGCATGATGGGTATGTTTACTTTTTATACTTAAAGTAGGTTTTGCTAACACTTAAGTACTTTTATTGAAAATGATTTTGATTGCAGGACATTTGCTTGTAACGGAGTATTTCAATCATTACGGTAATGAGTAAAAGGTCCGAGCACCTCTACTAATGACATTACCCCCCCGTGCGCATGCGTACTGTTGAGTACCAGATGGTCCAATCAGCTATTTTAACAGACACCAAACACGGAACGTGATCTCTAGAAGATGGCGGCAGCTCTGGTGGTGAGTACTCCGCACCGCACTGGTAGCTAAGTCACTCAACTCGGGCTCATATCCTCCAAGGATGGTGTATATCCAATGATCAACACACGGATGGTAAAAGACAAGTTATCAACAGTTGTGACTGAGTGACAGACAGCCCTAGTAGTTCTCTTAACTTCCTGTAGTCAGTTGTCTCTGACAGGTAACAACTCGCTAGCCAAAGTCACTTAATTTAGCATAGTCGATTAACGTTAGTCATTAACTAGGTTAACGTTACTCTTTGTTCCAGCGTTGCTGCTTGTGGAACCCTTTATTGTTAACTGTCGTTTAGTTAAAAGTGGATACCTCAGTCGCTAGCCTGAGATAAGCTCTGATGCTTGGGTGAATGAGAGGACGCACGCCTGGGTTAAGTTAACATAATCAACCGTTTGATGTGGTCCATAACGGGACCCGGGATGGCGTGCGGGACGTCCGTACGGGGCATTATGAACAAACCTAATATTTGACAAAGAGTTAACTTTTGCTAAGTATATGTGCAGGGGTTGGACAGATAATTGCAGTGACTGTTAGGCAATCCAAAACTGAACCTACGTTAAACGCTTTGGTATAATGTTCATTGTTTTGGTTCAAAATTATTCTACCTGGATGAATGTTATGTACCTAGGAATGCGTGTGGTTGGTGGAAGAGGTGGGCACAGGATGGGACTCCTCAATGCAAATGAATATTAAAATAGGATAAAGTAAAAATAGCTTATCATTTCATTGACAAGGGTAAAAATAAATCGGATTAAATTATATTTTATTATTATGCATGGAGCATTATATCTCAGTTGGCTGTGTGTACTCAGATTGTGTACAAATATCTCTAAATGTGTAGTTTGAGTGTGTAAATGAAACTACATATGTATTTGGCAAATAACACAAATATTTTAATGTGTACCCATTTGTAAATGTGCATATGATTTGTATAAATGTACTATGATCTGACTGTAAATACCCTTTTATTATAAGTAAAAACTTGTATGATCGCTTCAAAAGCTTAAAATAAATAAACATAACTCTTCATTTCCCCTTCGGGTTTGCCTATCACCTAACTGAGGATGTGCGTTTTTCTGTGCGCGGCAACTTTAAAACAGCTTTTGATGTAGTCTTAATTACAAAATACCCACCTCTAGTCTATAATCTGTTGTCGCACACATATTGTGCACACTCAAAGTATGACAGCCATGACCATAAAATGCATTTCAAAAAAGGATCAAATGTATGACAGCGGAGCCAATACCACAGATGGCACATGAGAAACATGCCAAACTTGTTTTGTTTTCTTCAGATATCAACCTCAGTTCCTGCAAGTCTTGAAAAGGAAAAATGTGAAGAAACCATTCAAAAAGTTGTGAGTCCTGAAGTGTACCTCAAGCATCCGCTACAGAACAGGTGAGACCACAACTCGGTACCCTTCTGTTTCTTTGTTCGACAACAGTCAACAAGTTGCAACTGCATTTGCTTGCATCAATACAGTTTAGATTATAGTTGCAGACCAGTTGGTGGTAAATTAAGCTCTTACCAGATTCCTTTGCCTGTCAACAGAGAGTGATGCTGCCAATTAGTGCTGATTTTGGCCATATGGTATTCCTATAATTAGCTTAGACACTTACAGTGGTTAGGATTTGAGCAAGGTATCTCTCATCCAACTGTCAAGTACAGTAATTGTGTAAGGTGTGTCTTCCAGTGAAACAAGTTGGTAATGAGCGACGTGAAAGACAAAGCATGCAGCTGTCGTCTGCAGTGAAACAACTCGGCTTTGATTTGCAGGTGGGCTCTTTGGTTTTTCAAGAATGACAAAAGCAAAACATGGCAAGCTAACCTTCGTCTCATCTCCAAATTTGACACTGTGGAAGACTTCTGGGCGTAAGTACTGTATGTTATTACTATAAACTATGGGTGACAAAGGAAAAACCTGAACCAATGAGTGGTCTCTTCCAGGATGACAGTGGCACAAGGGCACATGACATAGGGCACAAGGAGTCACTGAATGGTTTGAGGAGTATGAAAATGTGAATCATATGCTATGGCCTTTAGTCACCAGATCTCAACCCAAATGAAACCTCCTATGAGAGGTGTGGACGTGTTAGATGGGGCTCGCCACCACCATCATGGAAATAAGGGAATATCTTTTGGAAGAATGGTTGTTCATCCTTCAGTAGAGTTCAGAGACTTGTAGAATCGATGCCCAGGAGCACTACTGCTGTTCTAGTGGTGGGTGGGCTGACATTGTTTTAAGACTTTTTTGTTTTTCCCCTGTCATTTGTCACCTGTCTGTTCATGACTGGACTCGTAGCTGACATCACCTCTTTGTTGGCTGCTAATCAGTTCAGCCATTTAAGAAGTGGACAGTTGCATTTGAATGCTAATAAATAATATACCAGATTTGCTAATACTCATCAGTTTCATGTCCCAAAAATGCAGTGTCACATTTGTTTCTTAATTTCATTTTGTGTGCCTCTTGTTTCCTTACCACCAGTGCCACAGCACAGTGGATACTTTTGTTGTGGTGTTTTTACTAAGATGAGACTTGTCTGCCAGTTGTTATGTGAGGTTAAAATTCCTATTGCTCCATGTTTTTAGCCAGGTCACTAAAGGGCCTTCTGTGTCCTCTTGAATAAACACTTATTCTTCCTTCTCAGATTGTACAACCACATTCAGCTATCAAGTAACTTGATGTCTGGCTGTGACTACTCACTGTTTAAGGTAAGAGTGCTTTTATCACAGTCCTCACCACTGCACAATATACCCACTTAGACACAGTGGGTTACAGTGTCAAGTTTGTATCTAGAGCTGTAGTTACAGGCTCTTATTCAGGACCAAAAAGAAAAATGGTGGCCTTTTGGTCCACTATAGTTCTCTTCCATTTAAAGCAGACAGTTCCTCATTAAAATGAATTAATAGTTTTAATCTTGAAGTCTCATGGTCTGAAAGGTAATTTCTCACATCAGTGATACGTGTACTAGTTACCCGAGGGGGTTGAAAAGCATCAGTTTATTCTAGTTAACAAGCCGGCCTCTTCACTGCCCGTCACTTTGTGTATTTCCTCTAGTGGCCACAAAGAGCTTATGTAGAACCAATGGTTAGCTGTGTGCATCAGTCAAGACGAACTGAATCTCATCTGTCATAAATGGTCTCACACTTGGCCACACATCTTTATCTACATGTGGACATAGTGGTTGAATGCAAATCTAACTAGACAAGAGATGTCTCTAGGCAATTGCCACGATTAGCAGATGAATTGTGTAATCTCCTCTTTGGTTCAGCTTTTGCATTCATACATCCAGGCTGCTGTGTTATTTTCTAAAAGAACTAAAGGAGAATGCACACCGAGTGAGCGAGCGAGAGTGCTCCCTTGAAGGTACACATCAACAGAGAGCAGAGGGAACTGCACACACGTAACCCTGGTGTAGTCTTTAGATTTTTAATAAGCTTTTTATTTAAATTCTAACAATCAGCATTTTGTGAATATTCCCTTCTGTGCTTTCTCACCATCCTACTCGGTACAAATGGTCCAATGTTATCTTGCGAGTAGACACTTCAGCTTATTAGGTGGTTTCAGTGTGGTAGTTTGGTCCACATCAGGGTGTTATTGTAGTCCAACTAAACAAACAACTTAAGGGTGAACAAATCCTTGCTGTACAGGCACCCTTAATCACTACGCCCCAGTCAGCAGAGCTCAGTACGGGTGTTGGGTAACTACACCTGAACTGCCTTGTGATTTTAGCTTATTTGTTTGTTCTTTGTTTCTACATGAAAACATTGTTCACAGATCTCATGTTCTGAGGAAGTCCAGTTGACAAACCTGTTTAACTGTTTTTGGGTTTTCTTAAATTTATTTGTGTGTGGAAGCAATTTTTCAAAATGGACAATATTTGGGATTGTTTTCTTCCTGTTTTCAGGCACAATTATTTGAATATTTAATAGCCTGAAATGATTGATCACTAGAATCTAAAATGTATTTCACTTCAAGTATTGTTAGCTCATATCTAAAGGGAACAATAAATTGGAAAATGCAAGTATTTGTTCAGTATGGATACTTTGGGATATTTGAGTTGAGCTTTGACCTTTATTTAAAAATAGGATGGGATTGAGCCCATGTGGGAGGATGAACGGAACCGGCGAGGTGGCCGCTGGCTGATAACTCTGTCCAAGCATCAGCGCAAATCAGACCTTGACCGGTTCTGGTTGGAGACGGTATGTTCAGTTCTGTCAAGGATTGGGTACACATCATTAGTTTTATCTGAAGGCCTTTTTCAGGGAACATATTTTGTCACATTGCATAAATAATCAGAATGATGGCTGAGTTCCTTGTAGCTGCTTTGGTTTCATGGTCCTGGTATTGTCCATCCTGACTCGCTTAGAGTAGAACAGAGCCATCTTTAAATGTTTCTGGTTAATACCTGTGCTTCTCTACGTCCAAATGTCTCCTATGAAAAGGCCCGACAGCTACTAACTGCCACTGAAAAGAAACTGCTCCCCACTATCAAGATATTTGGAGATAATGTCAGATTTATTTTCTCCACCCTGCAGCTCTTGTGTCTTGTTGGTGAAGCTTTTGATGACTACAGTGACGATGTTTGTGGAGCTGTCATTAACATCCGAGCCAAAGGAGACAAAATAGCAATATGGACCACAGACTTCGAAAACAAAGAGGCCATCACACACATAGGGTGAGCTGAAGATGCCACAGTTATTGATGAAAGATTAACAGGTGTCATGGTAAATGAAATGTTTCTCCTACTGAATTAAATAAAAAGTTGCAGCTGTTGAGGGTCCTGTCTAACTCGCAAAGGGTTACAGCTCCATATAGACCTTGTTATAGATGGCCAGTGGAGCGATTGCAATCATACAATTAGAAATTGCATCAACATAGAAAGATGGATGTGCTTTAAAACTAAATGTCCCTATACGACAAAGAACACATCTTGGGTTTAGTACAGGTCTCGGTATACACCAGTATGTGTTGACCCTATTGCCTGTGGTTTTTTACTTTGTGTATATATTTTTCTATTGATACTTCAGCGATTGAGTGATTTCTAGTTTTTGCCCAGGTCTGTAGTGGTTTTCTTTCTTTTAACCCAGGGCTGAAGTGAGTTGCTATGTTAGTCACTAGTACAGTTGTAAATGTTTCAGCTTTTCAGAAAAAGCTTTTCCCTTTTGGGCAAAATGCTGCATCAGTGGATGGTCTCCAGGTACTAGATTGCTAGAGCTTGGTGCAGCAAAAGAGAACAATGGCAAGGATTGTTTTTCATGCCATTGTATAAATGTTATAGTCCTACTGTATATAAAGAATTAGCTTTTTGTGTGTATGCATTTCCTAATACGGAGTCATGTTTCTTTCGTTTGCCTTTTTCAGGCGTGTGTATAAAGAGAGATTAGGCGTTCCGCCAAAAGTGATCATCGGATACCAGTCACACGCGGACACAGCCACAAAGAGCGGCTCCACAACCAAGAACAAGTTTGTTGCCTGAGGACCATTGTCAAAATCGTCACCTATTTTCTGTAATTCTTCCATGAAAGTAACAGACAGGTTTATCAACCAAAAACCATTGTAAGAGATTAAATTTCTTGCTTTTTGTTTGCTTAATTGCTGCCACTTGACCAAAGCTTTTGTTTATGGTGAGTGTGTAGTGACGGTGTGTGTGTGGAGCTGTCTTTAATCTGTCCTTTTGAGAAGATGGTCAGTGTATGTGCAGGTAAATGTAGCACTATTGTTCATTAACTTTATGTGGTGGTGGGTTGAAGAGTAAAAGAGGTTTACATTTTCAAATACAGCTGCATATTTACTGACTTCATCTGATTTATGCACTCATGTGTGTATACACTACTTATTTTTGTTGAAGTACTTGAATATTAAAGGCACAAAAAGACAAATTTTCCATTTTGTTATAAACTGCAGGTGCTTTTATACTCTGAAATCCACAGTTTACTTTAATCCATATCTTTTAATGTTGACAGAACTGGCCTTAAAAGTTTTCTGGGAAATTCATCACACTCGCACACTTCATTGTCTTAATGCAGCTGTTTAGTTATTCTAGGACCAATGTCGCCAATAGCAAGTCAGAGTTTGAGCCATTTTGTTTCTTGCCAAGAAACTTGTGCAATATATGAGTTATTAAAGTTGAGATGTTCATCACGGTGAAGAATGGAAGATATATTTAAAAGGAACTTGGGGTTTCATAAAGAAATGGAAGTTCACTTCCTTGGCACTGTGGAGTAAAGCAGACATTTCACACACAAATGCATCAGGAAGCAAAGTTATTCTAACATGTAATGTATAAACATTATACCTGTAGCTGTTGGTATACTCTTCTTTCAGATTATTAGAGTATTAAGTTTTTGAACACAGGCATGTCATTCCGATGGCGTTATGTATCAATGGGACGGGACTTTTCAGAGAAATTTTCATGTTTTTCTTTTTAAGTGCATAAGCCATGTGACCGTTTGAAATGTTTACCTCTGTTTACAAGTTTACTTTGTTATGAGCGTTGACCTACTGCTTCGGTCAGGTTTACGCAGTATAATTTCATTCCAGACGTTTTGTGTATTTTTGGAGGGACTGAAATGTGCCTTGAACCTATTGTAACACCCTGCTCTAAGCAATGTACAAAGAAGTTATGTAAATAAACATGGGCAGTGTAGTCTTCTTTCCAAACGGTCATTTTTATAGTTTAATCAATATACTTTGAAAGCTATAGGCTGTACTAAACAGTGGCTTATGAAAGTGATCAGGCAAACGGGGGAGCAACAGTACAGCAATGCAGAGACTTTTTATTCTTTAACTTTATCGAACAATATAAAGAAAATGGCCTGGTACCATCCATGTAGCCCAACCTTTTCAATGAAAGTACTAAAGTGGGGGCGGGGTGAGGAGGTGCAAAAAGAGAAGTGGGACTAATTACGTGCCCCTGTTACCACCTCTTAATAGCTGCAGGTGCAAAGTCACATGACTCAGGTGACCTGAGCTGGTCACTGTGACAGAGCTTGGTAGTGCGGGAGTTTAGCTTGAGAGGAGCACCTGGTGTTAGCGCCTTTATTCAAAGCTTACAGACACACAAAGACGAGAGGCGTTCAGAAAGGAAGGAGAAGCGATATTTTGTAAAAAAAAAAAAAGGTGGTTGGCTGTCTACTGTATGTACAAGAGACTGGTTGCCCTTTTATAGGAATTGAATTATGGGATGAGGTCCTGGTAGTATGGTCTGCAGTCGGGCAGGCATTATGTTGTTACTCTATAGAAGCCCCTTTGGCAGCATTTACAGCTCTGTATCTTTTTGGGTAAGTCTCTTCAAGCTTTGCACACCCAGAGTTGGGCAGTTTATGCTTTGCTTCACCGTAGGTATGAGCAGGTGATGTGCAGTGTCAGGTACTTGGAATTCAACCCAAAGAATTGTCTTGTAGAACCCAAGAAAATGTATTTATTTATTTCTAAAAGTGTTTGTTAGTATGGGTAATTGAGTGTGGATTGTCAAAAATGTAAAGAGAATTTGTTTAAAATCTACAACACAAAGTGGGCAAAAGGTGATGGGGGGTGAATACTTTCTGAAACCACTGTACTATTCATCCATAAAATGCAGTTTTATGAAAGCTCGATTTATCTCCCCTTGTGAGCCTGCTCAGCCATTTATTATAACCCCCAAGTTCTGTCTTTCAGTAGCTCTCCATCTCTTTTTCAACTCCCTAGATTCACTTAAGTTGAATAAGTCAAGGCTTGACACTCTGTTCCTCATTGAAAAATGTTTTCCTGAAACTGTTAGGGGAAAAGAAAATATCAAAAAGTCACCTTGCACTGTTCTTCATGCTGCTATATAGTTAGGTTTGTGTTCAGGTTTAGTTTTGTTGACTTTGTAGGATCAGTTTAGATTAAGAGATCTTTTTAATACCTCCAGCTACAGCAATTTATGGTCTTCACCTTGATTAACCAATTCAAATTGCTGTTGAGCTCTAAGTAATTTAAGTAATCTATGACATCCATTGACTGGTACTTGAGAGCAACAGCCCCTCCCGTCTCTTTGAAATAAGCGTCCCTGTAATTGATACAATCAATCACACTCGAAAACAACTAAGAGAAAATGAGAAGAGAGATGCACAGACGTGTCCCAGGAAATGCTGAGGTTAAGGGTTTATCTCATAATACAAAACAATGTTTGGAGTCTTTTTTTGTTGTATCACTGTTAGACATTCACACAGCTTTGTGCCACTGTTGAACAGCTGAAGATAAGCACATTTACTGTCGGACTCACTGCAGGCCTTGTTTAGTAGATGGAAATATAACAGATAATAAAATTGTAGATGGTTTGTCACAACTATTTGAAATCAAGACTCCAGGCCCAGTTGCTTTCATGGTGGGCTTTTGCTCTTCAACTACCCTGTATGATGGCTGACACTGACTCATTCCACAGCCCCCTGCAATAATGACATGGGCACTTGTATCTGTTGGGCATAAAATTAAAACAGAAATGTTGATTCAACCCCACTCAGATCCATAATGGCTGGATTCAGACAGCTCTAAGGTCAGTCAGAGACAACTCTGGGAGGGAAGACCAAAGTTTCTCAGGGCAGCAAACTCAGACTTAAAGGTTTTCAATTTTTCAGTAATAAACGTGATAAAAATACATTTTTACATGCATGTAATAACACTTAATTTGTTTTAAAGTCAGTAATACTCCACACTTCATGAACGATCCAGTATTTATCTTTAGTTCTTGTATTTACATGGGTTCACAGACTGTTATCAGAGAAGGTATAAACCTTGTGTGATCAGTTTATTTTTGCTAGCATTTTTATTCTCCTCTACTCAGCTGAAACAAACGTTCAAGTAAATTAACTTAGTGCAGTACACCCAGATGTTTTCAGACATCCTCCTGGCACAAGTCAGGGGGATTATTTCTCCATTTATTTGATGGAAGTATATGTGAGTATATGTGTGCGTGAGTGTTATGTAAAGCAATTACATGTCAGATTCAAATGTCTCTGTAGGTCAGTACTAAAATGTGTTAACATAATTAGCTGTCTGATAACGTAATAACATTATTTGACTGATAATTATTTCCCCCCATGATACTATAGCACTTTTTCAGTTATTCCATCGAGGAGACAAAACAGATTGTGATGCTGCCTGATCACAGTCGTATATTGGCAGCAACATTTGGGATTGATTTATGCAAAGCTTTCCATCCTACACTCTTTTTTTTTTCACTGATTAACACATTTTAGTGGCAGCTGACATCTGAACTGTATAGATTTGATGACCCTGATATTCTGACAGATGAAAGTGCAAAGCCAAGCTGACACCTGTAGCTGACAGAGGCAACATAAATATACTCTCATCTCTTAAAGCTGCAGTAGAAAAGCAGATTCAAGGAAAACATATAAGTTCTCTTTAGGCTAATGCACTGTCTAACTTGAAATCTTATTTAGATCCTTTATTTAAGTAAAATGAGTGCATTGATGTCTAAATATTTTACACATATACTCTACATTGATGCATATGATGTTGCAGGGTCAGTAACTTCTAACGGCTGACATACCCTACATAAAGCTGCAGTGCTGCACTTACATCTTATTATAAAACCAGGGGCATTAGTAAGCTGCTTTTACAGCCTCTAGCCTTCCAGAAAGGCTTTCTTCAATATATTGCAGCCTTGCTGTAGGGATTTGCTCTCATTCAGACTCACGAACATTACTAAGGTTGGATACTGATGTTGTGCGATAAAGCCTAGGTCACAGTCAGCATACTAAATTCACCCCAAAGGTGTTGGATGCTTGAGGTTAGGGCTCTGTGCAGGTCATTCAGTTTCTTCCACACCAAACTTGTGAGGGAAAGGGCCCTCTCCAAACACAAAGGGGGAAGTGGGAAGCATGTTATCATTAAACTAAAAACCAGTACCAGAACAATTGTACACCGAAGAACTGGGCTAGAATGTGTAATTGCATCGTTTTACCATAGTCAGTCAGTGTGTATGTCTGTCTCTGTCTCTCTATTCACCTTTGTTGCTGTGAATAATAAGTGATTAATATGCAGTACACTGAAGAGTGATTACGACAGGGGTTGATTTTCTTTTTCTTAAACTTTCCACAAGGAGGCAGTATAGCTGCACACTTGAGTTACATCCTACAGGCTTCCAGTCTTCCTCAAATGTTTTGGTAGAGGACATGAGGAGTAGCAGCTGGGTGTCTTATTTATGTATACCATCCCCCTGCCCCCAACATCCACACCTCCCCCCATCCCCTTTGGCAACTGTCAACCTCCTGCTCACTTGCTCCTAGTGTCCTATGGTGCATAAAAAGGGGGCATGGTGAGTCAAGCCATGCACCCTTGACTCATTTTTGTACCACCCTCTACTGTATGCCCATGTGTGGAGTTATAAACCTGCATGGTGGCATGACACCACTCTGGTTGAGGCTGCAGCATAAGAGGTTGCAGATAATTCTTTGCATCCGCAGGAGGTGCTGACTCCCTCCGTGTTTCATGACAGGTATGACACTGAACTATTTCTTGCTCACAGTACCTCACCGGCTGCCTCTGAGGACTCTAAGCTAGGTTCTGTATCTGGGTTATTACCCATAGTGCTTCTGACAGTGTCCTAGAGTCAATAACAATCTTGTCATCTTTCTGTCGGAACATGAGGGAGGAATCCACTCATTTGCCAAGTAGTACTTATGTGCACAAACACAAGCTCTGGCGCCCACACTGCACTGTGATACAGCTATGAAATCAGTGGAACAAGCAAAAAGGATTACAGATCCTTACAGATCAGAGTTTAAATGCATATTTTGATTAGGTTTATGACTATCTATTTATATGATAAGCAGTTCAAGTTCACAAGTTTACTAGTAGTCAGTCTGCTGCTTGGTAGTCCCCTGCACTACAATTATGCTTAACAGTTAATGTAACATCTGTATTATGACATCTGGCTGACCTTTGACATGTGGGTCTGAAAACACAATCTGACTTGGGTATTTATATATCACCAAATTGAAAATATGAGCTGAGTTCTGAATCAGGCTTTAAACTGATATTTACAAATTCATTTTAATATTCCAGATTTAATTGTGCAAAAATCCAGTTATTAGTGTGCATGGCAAGATACTTATTAATATTTACATCCACTACCAGTTGTCATATGTTGACATTTTGTGGCTGGTTGGCTGAGCAGCTATTGCCTGGATTAAAACAAAACACAGTCATAGAAACAAAAACCCAAATAGTCAAGTTAACTGGTAAATTTCAGTCAAAACTCAGCGGGACGTCTTAAAAATGTTTGGACTGTTAACTGTAGCAAAACACTTATGTGTGGTAGTGTGAATGGTGCGAAAACAGCTAATTTTAAATGCTGTGGACCTCACCTTAAGTGTGTGATTTGCTTTTACTTTTCTGTGTTTGTCTCCTTTTGCAATCTGGACTGATGTGCTTTCCTCTGCAAACCACTTGAAGAGGAACTTGTTTGATAGAAAAGGCTTTGCAAATAAATTTGACTTTTTCTTGACTCACTGGAAATGGAAAGGCTGCAGGGCTAAAAGCTGCCAACGCTGGTATGTGCAGCTCATATTTACGTTCATAATATCATCAAACGGAGTCGTATTCAAATATGCAGAAGGCATTTTACTAGCCAAACAAGGATCAACTTGCAAAAGTGAGTCAGCATA